ACAAGGATGGCTGTCCGTACTCAAAGCAGACTGGACCCAGCACCAGGATTATGCCAGGATTGAGGAAATGGGAGATGGGGAGCGAGGACACTCACCTGAGGCTCTGCTGGTTGAGAGATGGGAGGGCTCAGACAGGTCAAGGTCACACAGCCCAAGAAAGGGCGCCACTGGGAATGTCCCCACCTTAAGGACCCCCAGCCCAGTCCCCATGCCCCCCATAGCCCTGCCCATCTGTCTGCAGCCTTCATGAGTTGGGAGCTAGGTAAGGCCGCCCCTCCTTCCCCAATGGCTGGATGTCCCCCCGCAGCCAAAGCCATCAGCTTTGAAGCTAAGCCCTAGATTAGGGTGGCTCCAGCTGGCCTCTGCCTGCCAGACCGTAGACAGACCATAGCTGCACATCCACCAGGGCTCAGAGCTGCAGAGACCCCAGTCCAACATAGCCCCTCTCCTGAAAGCCCCGAGCTCACCCTCAATGTGGGGCTGAGGGCCCCTTTCCAGCATCATCCTTCATGAAGCTGAGTGCCCCAGGGCTATGGGGACCAAGCAGGAGAGGCTGGGGTAGAAAGAAGACAGGTGTCATGTCATCAGGGGTGAGGGTTGGGGTGGGGGCTGTTTCCTGTGCTGGAAGTTTCTCTCCCCACACCTGCTGCCTGTGGCTAGGCACCTCCCCCTCTGCCAGGAAGCCCTCCTTGCTGGGACTGACAAGTCCTCCGTGTTTCCTCAAGTCCAGGGGCTTCTCCTGACTTTTCACTTGTCGTCCTGGGTTTAAAAGGTCACTTTTCTGATCTTTCCACTCCCAGTGGGAGTGCCTTGGGGACAAATCTTTGCAACAGCTCCTGTCCTCCATAGCTACTTGAGTCCTCTTCACCCCTGATGTCATAGCTGGTGATGTCATTGCTGGTCCCAGTTTCTGCCTTGCCCTGGAGGCAGGTGCGGGGGGGGGAGGGCCTGTGACATCAGCACTGTCATCCCCTTGCTGAATCACAACAAGGCTGTGACTGGCCCCTGTGGTCACTCCGACTAGAAAGGGAGAAGGGGGTGTACCCTCGGGTCATGGGGCTGGCCTGGTCACCCCTGACTCTTGAGGGCTCTATGTGTGAATAGCACAGAAGCAGACACACCCTGGGGGTCCCTGTAGGCCCACATGAACCCCTAGGCAGATCCCTAGCCAGGCCCTTAGCAGCCCTGGGCCCCACTCAGGGGTCAGCTTGCAGCAATCATGGGGTACAACATTCTGGGGCGCACACTGTCTGGCTTCTGGAGCCTCCCCTGACTTTCATTGACCCCAGGGCCTGGAATTCCACAGGGGACACCTCCCTGTTCGCTAAGGACCCCATTGGTCCCTCTCCAACTCACTCCGATCACTTCCTGGCTGGGGCAGAGACCTGCACCCCCAAGGTTGCCATGGAGATGGTGGTGGGATCAGATGGAGTCTCCTCGCAGCCTCCCGCTGTCCAGGAGCAGCCCCGCCCTCCTACAGTCAGCACCAGCTCCCTGGGAGACTCAGCCCTGCTCTCCAACTGCTCCAAACCCCCGGGGGGCTGTTCTGGAAGGATCTTCAAAGGCCTTGGCCATTCCTGACTTGGAGCCAGGAGGAAGCTGTTCCCAGAGGGCAGCCGAGTCAGCCACAAGGGAGGAGGAGTTGGCTGTTTCATTAACGGCAACCCCTGGTGATTTATACAGGGGGCCACCATCCCCAAGATCATCCTGAATGGAAAATGGAATCCAATTAGCCTCAATGAGACCCAGCTGGCCAGGGGAGCCGGCAGGCTGGGCCATATGCCCACACCCAGCAATGGACTGGTGGGGTGGGGTTGGGGGGGCTTGTGCCAGAGCCTGCGTGGTCCTCCGGCCTTCGTTGTTCATCTCCGCTTAGAACAGCCACTTTGGTCAGTGCAAAAGTCAGGTCTCCTTGGCTGCCCACAGCCCTTGGAAAGTCCACAGCCTCCCTGGCCCCACACAGGTGCCATTGTGCAGATGGGTAGACTGAGGTGAAGATGGACAGGTCACCTCTTCCAGCTCCCCAACAACTGCGGTGCTGGGAGCGTGCTGGAGGGTCACTATTCTGTCTGGCCATCAGGGACAGGGGGACATGTTGGGCTTAAGAGAGCATTCCAGGCAGAGAGTGGCACACATCAAAGCCCTGTGGCAGGAGGCTGCTGAAGTCATTATTCAAGGCTCAGCGCAGAGCAGAGGAGGGGATGGGGGAGTCTGGGAGGCTGCCACAGGACACTTGCACATTCAGGAAGGGAATTTGGAGACTTGGTCCCAGATGGTGGCATGTCCTTCAGGGCACCTCAATTTCTCTCTAGCATTTGGGGCTTCAGAGAACAACTCAGAAGGCTAGACCAGATACGGACCCAAAAGGGTCCAGATCTGTGGGCAGTGCTGAGCCAGGAGAATTGGGCAGGTGGAAATAGAAGCAGCCTGAGCACCAGGACCACTGGGTGCGGGAAGGGTCCTGGAGCCAGAGAGGCTTGGAGCCCCTGGAGGGGGAACCCCAGATGTGGGGGACTGTAGGATGGGGTAGGAGGAGCCAGTGCCAATGAGTGAAGGACAAAAGTTAGGAGGAATGCATAAATGAAAGACCCTCCCAGAGCCTCTACCTGCTTCCTGCTTTGTAGCCCCCCAACCCTGGGGCCTCAGGGGAGCATGTGTCTGTGGCCTGGGGAAGGGAAGCCCCCTGGCTCCAGCCTACTCTAGGTTTCCAGGAAAGCAAGAGGGAGCCAGACTGTCTCCTGGGCTCCATGTCCCAGGACAGGAACTGCAGGGCACTGTGGGCCCTGTTCACTTGCAACCACCCTGCCCCCTTAAGTCCCCCAGAGGAAGTGGGAGGTCGGAGAGGTCTAAGGGGGCTGGCTCCTCGCCTCTGGGTCCAGCAGGCCACCTCTTGCTTCTTCTTGGCCTCCAGGATTCAGAAACATACACCCCCACCCCCAAGGTTGCACCTGCTTGTCCTTCAACAGCGGGGAGAGGGGTCTTGGAGGAACCCCAACCCTGGACTCCGCCTGTGTGGCCCACCGTGGGGCAGAGCTGATGAAGCCAGGCTGTGCTCTAGGTCACTGGGCTCCAATGCCAACCCCACAGAGCCTGTTTCCCTGGCTGCACTTGTGGGGCTATGAGGAAGGTATGTGCACACGCTGCTTGGCCTGGGACTGGCGCTCATGGGCAGGTGCAACTGGCCTAAACCCCAATCCCTACTCTCAGGGCTCTTCCCCCAGCTGGCCGCTAACCTCACTTCTCTTCCTGGTGCCCCTCCCACCCCAAGCCTATCACTGTCGCCCACTCTCCTTGTACAGGCTGACCAAGGCCCATGCTGGCTGCTGCCTTTCAAAGCTAGAGGCCCAGCACCCAGGACCCCGGTCCTGGGCTCCACCCCAGCTGAGCACAGCCAGAGACCTCCCCTCCCTGGCTCTTCTCACCTATGGGTGCTGAATCTTCAGTCCCCCTTCCTCTTTCTTTTTCCCTTCCTTTATTCTCGGGTTATCCTATTTCTGCATCTGTATAAGAAAGTGTGTTCAAGGGGCTGATGAGATGGCATAGCCAGCTAATCCCTACTTGCAGTGCTGGCATCCCGTAAGGGCACTGGTTCAATTCTTGGCTGCTCTGTTTTCCATCCAACTCCCTGCCTGTGGCCTGGGAAGGCAGCAGAAGATGGGCCAAAGCCTTGGAACCCTGCACCCTTGTGGGAGACTCAGAAGAAGCTCCTGGCTTCGGATCAGTTCAGCTCTGGCCACTGCAACCCTTTGGGGAGTGAATCAGCAGATGGAAGATCTCAATCTCTGACTTTTACAAGTGAAATACATAAACATTTTTAAAAAGACAAAAAGGAAGAACGAGAGAAAGAGAGAGAGAGAACGAACAAGCCTATGCAAGGCGCACAGTCCTATGCTGCAGCTTGGCTGTCACCCACACCTGTCTACACCGAATCTCTAGGACTGAGTGCAGGAGGCACAGGGAACAACTGCTCCTGGCTGTCTTCTGGGAGTGCTGGAACGTTCTGAATAAAGGTAGTGTGCCAGTTGCGCAGCTGGTCCATATACTAACAGCCACTTGAACTTCATGCACTTGAATGATATCCCAATATGAAGACCTTTCTAAGATTTGTTTATTTGAAAGGCAGAGTGAGAAAGAAAAGAGAGGAGAGGACTTTCACTTTCCTCCGCTGATTCACTCCCCCAAATGTCCACAACAGCCACGGCTAGACCAGGGCCAGACCGGACGGAAGCCAGGCGCTGCGATCCCAGCCAGGTCTCCCATGTGAGTGCTAGGGACCCCCTCGGTGGGCCATTCCCTGCTGCCCAAGGATGCACATTAGCAGGGAGCTGGATCAGAAGCGGAGCCAGGATGTGAACCAACCACCCTCCAGGCAGCAACTTAACCTCAGCACCCAAAGCCTGCCCTGGTGACTGCATGCCAGATACGAGACCCTGATCGCGGTTTGTGCGCTGCTGGACCTTCTCCGTCCCGCACTGCACTTCTGTAACTGCGTCTCTGGCGAGCAGAGGCTGTCAGGTGTCAATGTACACACATCCAATATTACATACACCGGCAGCAGAGAGTGGGTACCCCGTGGAAGAGCCCCCTGCTTCTCTCCGGAGCCAGGCCCTCCCTCTCCAACCTCTCTAGCTTCCACCTTCCCCAACCCCTACAACTCCTGGCTACAGGTGCCTCCCACTGTCCGTCTTTCCCTTCCCCCAGCCCTCTCCCTGGCTGGCTACAGCACACACAAGTCCCCCCTCTCCAAGTCCCAGCACAGGCATGAGGCACACACTAGGTGCTCAATAAAACAAAACGTTGATGCCAGCTCCCAGCTGCCCCAACCCGGCTCCCAGCTGTGGGTCATTAGAGCTGCGGGTGAGTGAGCACAAAACACCAGCTCATCGGGAACATCTGAGCTCAGCCAGAGACGAAAACATTCTGGAAAAGGCGACACGCTAGGAATGTTTCGCCGTCACCCCGATGGGGGCACGGAGCATACAAATGAGGACCTCGCGAGCTTTTTTATTATTATTACTATTCTGGTCTTTTCCCAGGCACGCACACTCCAACCACAGCAAACCCCCTGCTCTCCACTGCCTGGCCAGGCTTTCAATGTAGCCCGCGGCATGCCCTAGTCCTTCTCGTCCCCGTGCGTGATGACATAGCACAGATTCCTGTAGTCCAGGTTGCCGCACACATCTGGCGGGAAGGCAGCAAACATCTGCTTGACCTGAGGAGTGGGAGTGGAGGCAGAGAGTCAGTCTGGGAGATTCCCCCCAGCCAACCCAGGCAGGGCAAGCAGGCGGGGAGAACAGGATGGGGGAATGTGGGAGCTGGCAGCTGAGCCCCCACTCACCTCCTCCTCGCTGAAGCGGTCCGCCTGGGTCATGAGCTTCTCTTTGATGCTGTGCCAGGGACAGAGGCAGTCACGTTCAAGGCCAAGGCAGAGCGTTGGGGGGCCCATGGTGACAGGCACTCCCCAGCACTGCCTGGTGCTGTGTGGTCTGCGGCAGCTTCCTCCCCTAACGCGCAGGCGTTCCTCCCAGCCCAGGGTGGGACACAATGACCCACCGCAGGGTGCCCTCAGATTCCCATGTGGGCTGAGTGCTAGCCACAGAGCTCTGGGCCCACCTTGGGGGGCCTCTGTGGCTTCACCCCAAACACACTGCTTTCTCAAGTATGTGACTGCGCCAGGTCTCACTTGCTCAGCACTTAGTAGTGAGTACTGAAAACTAAGTAAGTACTGAGCAAGTGCTGAGTACTAAGATTCTTGTGTTACCAAGCAGGAAGCCAAGGCTATTATTAGTGTAGCATTTGAGCAAAGCTAAGGACACAGAAAATTCCGGAAATTCAGACCTCATTGACACCAGTTTTCTTATTTCACCTGAGGGCCTGGCGTGTCCCTGGTGCCGGCAGCGGCACAACCCACCGCCCTGCCCCCCCCTAAGGACCAGCACAGGTTTCCTACTTGCTAAGGGCCTTCAGCTGCTCCTCCTCATCCTTCCAGGCCACCCCCTCCAGGAAGCCCTCCCTGTCCACTCCCATGCCACACACTACAGAGGTTGGGGAGAGATAACATCAACAGGGGCCAGCTCTGGCCGGGTGCTGCCCTAGCTGGGCTGAGCGCTGGGTGGGAGTAGAGCTGCGGGGTGGGATGACTTACAAATCGGCCTTGACAAAACCCTTCCCTTCGGTGTCGAACACCTTGAAGGCATGGAGAATGGTCTCCTCCGGGTCGGTGCCTAGAAGCAGCACACAGAGAGCAGGGGAGTGGGTGACAGCCCCATCCCTGGAGACAGGGATCAGGCTGGGCTGGGGTGGGGAACACTGCTCGGGGGCTGGGGGAGGGTACACTTGGCAGGGAGGGTCGAGTGCCCTTGAAGCAAGAGGAAGGTGGTTACGGAGATGTGACAGCAGGGATGGACAATGGCGCATCAATGTTATCTTCATGAGCGACGAGCTCAACTGGACATGGCCACCCTAAATTTGCATTTCTCTCTGTGTTTTCCATGGAGGTGAAGGGACCTTGGACATTGCTGCAGGAGCTGTGAGGCTGGGGCTTGGTAACTCTGGGGTTTATTGGTTATCCAAGAAGAGCCCAGAGCAACGAGTAGGGGATGAGGCTGAGGCTTGGGCAGTGGCACAGAGGGGCCAGCTTACTGTATGTCCCAGGTGCCCCGTGCCTCCTACAGAACACTGTGTCAGCCGTGAGCTGGAGACAGAGTCTGTGTGGCTGCTGCCGCACAGCACCAGCAGGTACATCACTTAGTGCAAAGATGTTGCTGGCTTCACATCCGTCAGGGGTTAGAGTTGCAGGCATGGTTAAGAACTCTGCACCTAACTCCTCAGGACAGCCCCGGGGGAGGGGACACACACAGCGCCCAGATTAACACAGAGGACACTACGGACCAGGAAGTTTCTGGGACTTATCTAAGGGCCCACCCTAAGGAGGAGAGGGGAGCTGGAGCCACCTCGGAGACCGTCAGAGTCCCTGATGGCTCTGTGCCAGTGTGTCTCAGGCAAGGGCCACCATGCCTCCTCTGTCAGCCTGGGTCAGGGCCACCATGCCTCCTCTGTCAGCCTGGGTCAGGGCCACCATGCCTCCTCTGTCAGCCTGGGTCAGGGCCACCATGCCTCCTCCATCAGCCTGAGTCAGGGCCACCAGGCCTCCTCCATCAGCCTGGGTCAGGGCCACAAGGCCTCCTCCGTCAGCCTAGGCCATCAGACTGGGTCTACCCAGTTAGACACAGAGTTCATCTGAGTCACTCAGAATCGCTGAAACTGGGCCGAGGCTGCCCACAGGTCCCGCTGACCTGGCAGCTCCTCAGGGGATCATGCTTTACCCACGCAGGGTGAAGGGAGCCCATGCACCCCAGCGCAGAGGCTGCCGAGGGTCCTACAGGGTGAGATTCCCAGGCCTACATAGGCTGGCAGAGCAGGCAAAGTGGAGGGCAGGAGGGCAGCTGCAGACCTGTGCCGTTAACAACTCAGTGGTGGGAGGCGTCCCTTCTCCGTGCCATGCCTCTCAGTCTTGAGCACTGGGCCAGGGCAGTGGGTGGCTGGCTCCAGCCTGTCCGACTGGGGACTAGACCTTGGCCTTCACTCAGGCCCAGGCCAGCCGCTCCTGGTGATGGGCAGGCTGGGCGGGTGCCACCTCCTGCCTGCTCCCCAGAGAAGGCCTCTGCCCTGGGAACTCTCAAAGCTCATAAACCAGGCTGTCTCCCCAGCAGACTGCCAGCCTCTCACACGGCAAAGTCCCTTGTCCCAATGAGCGGGCAGAGGCAGTGGCTATCCAGGACCTCCCCTGCCCTTGCTGGGGCTCGCCCCTCCAGCAGACCTGGCCCAGCTTGCACGATGATCCTAGGCCTGGCACCCCTGTGAAAGTGACAGGAGTATGTGTGTGCCAGGGACCTGGGCCCTCTCAAGCCTCAGGCCTCCATTTAGAGACCCCCGCTGTTGCCCCAAGCATCCCCAAGGGTCTCAGGACAACAGCCTTATTCTCTGAACCTGACCTCCTGGCCTGTCCCAACAGGAGCCCGCTGTCCCCACCCTGATTCCCCAAGCGGACTCAGGCTGGTTCCCCCAATCTCCCCCGGCCCCCGGCCCCACCCTGGCTGGTCTCTAAGGCATTTTCTTTCCCTTGTGCTGCTTCAGATAACAGCTGGACGCCTGTCTATCCATCTACACCATCCCAAATCGCTGGCTGGAGTCCCCCTTGCCTTCCCATGGAGCATGCCCAGTTCCACCCTTGCGAGAGAGGCCCCTGGGCACTCCTGACCCAGCTACATAATTCCAAGTTCAAAGTCTGACCCGGGAGAGGTCAATCACTTCCCACAGACAAGGGGCTGCGAGCTGCCTGCCACCTCCAGACAGGTCAAGACCAACTGAGTCGTGGAGGAGTGTGACTACCATGCCCACTGCACAGGGCAGCCTCAGCCCTCCCCTCCCCTATGGCCTGTAGCTGTCCCCACCTTCCGTGGGAGAGGGACACCGTGCTGATGATAGCTGAAGAACCAGGAAGCAGAACTGGTACAGGTACAAGGAGGGGAAACTGAGGCAGGGCCTGTACTCCCACAGACAGGTGTATGGGGGCAGTCCCTGGCTCCCCGCTGCTCATATCCCCTCCCATCCAGTCCCCAAGGATCCCCTGGAGCACCACTCACCTTTCAGTTTCTCCCCAAACATGGTCAGGAAGACAGTGAAGTTGATGGGGCCTGGTGCCTCTTTCACCATGGCCTCCAGCTCCTCATTTTTGACATTGATACGACCTGAGGATAGGGGTAGGGAGTGAATCCCAGGAGCGTTATGGGAGACATGGGGGGACCCAGCGTTGCAGGCAGCACAAGACAACAGAGCTTGGTGCCACTAAGGGTCCCCTCAGCCCACCTGCTGGGGATGGGCCTGGGCAAGGGGATTGGGCCCACCGTCCACACTGGGGTACCTGCAGCCTTCCTCCTTCCATTAAACCTCCTGGGTGGTGGGCACCCCTCCCACACAAGCCCCCCAGTCACGCACAGCCACCCCATCCTGGCCTGTCCCAAGCACCCCATGCTTTCGGTGTCCCCAGCTGGCCCACACCCACCGAGCGCAGCAAAAGTGTCCCGCAGATCCTCCTTGTCAATGAAACCGTCCCGGTTCTGGTCCATGATGGTGAAGGCCTGGCAGAGATGGGGAAATGAGCACCCCAGGCTGTCCCCTCTGCCACCCAGAGCCCAAGGGTCCACCCAGCCTCAGGCTTGGCACGACCCTCCCCCCGCCACCTCTCTGAGCACCTGCTGTGACCAGCACACTGCAGACCTCCTAAGCACCCATCTATGCCTCCAGGCTTGGGGCCAGCAGCCATGGTGGCCCAGGGGGAGCGGAGCCCACGTGGACAGCTATGTACCTCCTTGAACTCCTGAATCTGGGACTGATCGAACATGGAGAAGACATTGGAGGTGGCGCCACCTTCTGCACGCTTTCGGGCTCTCCTTGGTGCCTGGGGTGGGTGGGGGGAGCACCACAGGGTCACTCCCAGCCCCAGGCACCCTCCCAAGCCCACCTCCTCTCCCAGAACCTCCAAAGTCTTCACTAGCATAGGCTGGCAGCAGGAAACCTGGGAGCTGCAGCTGCTCGCCCAACCCACCCCAAGCTCCAGCAAGTGCATGTGTGGGGTAGGGCTTCCGGTGTCCTCCCACCCCCCAGCGGCCGGATGCCCCATCAGCTGCTGCCACCATCCCCAGAATCTCAAGATGATTTGTCTTTGACCACCCGGGGTTCCCATAACCTCCTCCCACCTTGGTTCCCCTGCTCTGCCCTCCACTCTCTTCCTTTGTCAGGTTTAGGGTCTCTGCCTTTTCCTCTGAGAAGCCTCCCTCCCTGGCTCCCCACTACTGTCTACCTGCAGCCCCCCACATCACAGCCCACACTCTCCAGCCTCCTCGCTCCTGCGTCTCTCGCCTTGACGAAGCAGCGGTAGAGACCTCAGGCTGGTCCCACCTGTGGTCTCTCTGGCTCCAAAGAGGGACCAGTGCATGCCTGCCATTCACCAACCCCAAGCTCCAGGCTGATGGGGCAGGTGGAGCTGCCGACCACCCACGTGGCGTAATCCGGGGCCTCCTGTCGGGCCTTTCTGCCTCCAGGGACACCTTTCCGGATGTGGTGGTGCTTAAGAGTCCTCCATTAGGCATGTGCTGAAAGCTCTGAGTCCCCAAGACCTTCCACAGGCTCCCCCTACCCCAAATCTCCCCTTCTAGCAAGCTGCCAGACCAGAGCTTCACATAGGGACTCCATGGGGGTGGCAGGGACGGGGCATCCTCTGCCAGCTCCCACCTCTCAGAATGTGAGTTCTCTTATCCCCCCAGTCCCTGGTGCCTGTGTGGTCTCCCCTCCTCCCAGCTCACTCTTGCCCCCACCCCCAGGCTCCCTGGCCTGTGCTGGGGGATGCCTTATAATTAGCTCTTCACCGGGGGCTCTCCATCTGCACGGAGGCCGGCGGGGCAGCCAGTCCGGCACGAAGCCATAAAAGCTCTGTAATATTTTATAAATCCCTTCAGACATCATAAAGGACAAGACTTCCCCGCACAGAGCATCGCCTGTAATTACAGATGTTTCCTTCTGATTAGTAAAAAGGCATCGCTTCCATCGGCAGGCCCCCTACCCTATCTCTTGAGGCATTCCCATTCCTTCCACCTTGACCCTGACCCCGGTGGGTCCCTGGCGTCCATCTCAGTCTGCACTGCCCAGAGAAAGCTCAGTGCACTGCAAGGTGAGAAGGGGTCACTTCTCACAGATGTCAAGGGACCAGAGGCATGGGGCTTCCAGCCTGTACCCTGGGTCTCCCTTTTATTCTGGGCTCCCTTGAAGCCAAGGACACCCCTCCTCACTTGGGGTGTACTCTCAGGGCACAAGAGGTCACCTGGACCTGGGTTTCAGCACTCACCATCTCTGTAATGTGAAGAAATACAACTGCCTTCCATGACTCAGTTTCCCCACTTAGCACACCAAAAGGATGCCTGCCTTGAGGCTGCAGAGGCTTAGGAGACATCTGCTGACCCTCCAGGCAAGTTCCTGTGCTCAACCCTGGCCAACCAGAGTGGAAGCCAACCTTATTCTTGTCCCCAAAGAGCTCCTAGTCTAGCTGAGCTTGGTGGACGGTCGTGTGCCACAATGAAGGACTCACATGTTGAGGAGACCAGGCACAAGCAACTAGCAAGCTCGAGAGCCCACCAAGAGGCCCCAAGCCTAGCCCACCCCAGCTTCCTCCACCCTCCACTTTCTCATTCCTCCCACCTACCCCTGGGCACCCCCCACCCACCTGTCAGTCCCCGGGTCTCAGAAAGCCCATACCCAAGTCATCATCCCCTGTGGATGGACCGACCATCCACAAAGGATCAAGTTGGAGTCAAGTTCAAAGGCATGGGAGAAAGGGGCCGAGTCAAGGTCAGGGTGAGTTCAGGCACAGGGTGAAGGTTAGCATCACAAATGAAGTCAAGGACAGGGTGGTGAGGTTGGAGTTGAGCCGGGGGACCGGGAGGGAGGGGACAGCAGCCCTTGGAAGCTGTGTAGGATAGTGGAGGGCAGGGAAGGCGGCCGCGGCGTACCATGGTCTGAATGCTTCCCAGTGCTGCAGTGGGGTGCAGGTAGCCCCCAGGACCCTCTTTAAATAGTGTTCCTGCCCACGAGGCGGCCAGGAGGGTGACCTCCCTGCCAGGCGTTCCCCCGCTAGGGCCATCGGGAGTGGGAGGGGAAAAGAGATCCGGGAAGATATCCCCAGGATGTAGGGTGCTTGGAGCCGTCGCTGGGCCAACTGTTTGCTCTGTAGCCAGGGGACGGCACTTGGGAAGGGGCCCATGGCCAAGGGCACACAGGTGGCCAGGGCTGCAGCCAGCTGGGAGGACATGGCCTTGGGTTGTGGAGGGTGAAGGGACATGCCAGCCAGGTGGGGACAGCAGGGCCCTGGGTGTGTGATATGGGAGCCTAGGGAGGGAGCAGGAGGTGACACTCCCCACTCAGTGTGCTCACAGGACCCTCAACCCACGCGCCCCTGTGGCTCTGCTGGGTTGGGGTGGTTGGGGAGCTGGCACCTCCATTGCCCAGCTTCAGAATACCCTTTTGGGTGAGCACGGCAGGTTTCAAGAAAACGAAAAAGACCAATGACAGTTTGGGTGGCCTTGGCGAGGGAGAACTAAGAACCCACTCCCCCCTCTCACACACATGTACCCCAAGAATATTCTCCAAGTGCATGAGCTTACAGTCCCGGCCTCCTGTCTGTCACAGCCATATGGGCGGCTGGTTGTGTGGGACCCGCCATCTCTGATGCACAGCCAGGGCCGGCAGTGCTGGGCTCAGGCGGGGTGAGCCATGAGTCCCCAGGAGCTGGAAGGCTTAACTGTGCCCAGAGCTGGCCTTGGGCCTCTGGGCCCCGGGACAGCTAATCCCTAGCTCATGGAGGGATAGAACACGGAGCTAAAGAGACAGAAGCCGATGTTTGGAAAATGTATGCATGGCAGGTCTACGCGTCCTCACGTCCATTTCTCATCCCGGCTTGGCACTCAGTCAAGGCCTGTGACCCAAAAGAGAGCCCTTTTTTCTAATGGTTCCAGAAAGAAGCTTCCAGAACGTTGTGCCCATCCATGAGCAGCAACTGGTTCCAGAATCCCTGTCACTGTGAGGGAGCCCACAGCCCAGGCCTGCGGCCACTCTCTGACAGCTTCCTTACAAAGTGTCCCTTTGGGGTCACAAGGCCACAGGTTTCACAGTATGCCGGTGGTCAAAGGGAAGCTGGCTTTGGGAATTGCTGCTCCATTCCAACCAGCCGTGACCTGCCAGCCGTGACCTGCCTGCATTGAGAGACAGGTGTGAGCAGGACAAGTGCCTGCCCCTCTGGGAGCAGGGGGACAGGGGCTGGGCAGCAGGATGTGTGGCCGGGGTCTGCCCCTCAGCCACAGGGTGCGACCTCTCCCTGCCACATCTACAGGCCTGGGCCTGCCACAACTCCTGGCTCTGAATTTGCTGAGGGGATGCCAACCAGGGTGGGGACGCCAGCCGAGGCTCCTGATGGGTGGCTTCCTGCCTCTGGCTTCCCGCTGGCCTGGGCCTCCTCCTCCTCGGGGGATCAGCACCTAAGCCCTGGCCTCCGGGCACTGGGATCACTCTGGGGACCTAGAGGGGAGTTCCGGAAGGCTTAGGCTGTCCCCAGGGGAGGGGAGCATTGTGAAAGGCACCTGCCTGCCCACCCACGGGCACCTGTTTGTTGAAGCCTCTCTGGCGGGGGTGGGGAGGGGGCTCAGGAGGCAGGGAATTGTCCCCATTCCCCTCAGGCTAGAAGCAGCAGGCTTCTTGCAATCTGGTCTCACAGTTCTTCCTTGTATACCACCTATGATGGGGAGCTCACTACTTCCCAGGTATGTCTCCATAGTAACCTTGATGTGCAATTACTCAACTGAGGCTCTGCACCAGGCACCCTGGGGGACTAAGAGGACTGTGCTGGGTGTGGGACATTTCAGAGAGATCTCGTGTCCCCTCCTCCTCCTCCTTTTCCAGTTATTTTTGCAGCTGGGCATGCTGGCCACAGGCCCCTGGAACAGGCTGTCCTAGATAGGTGAGCTGTATGCTAGGAGATGTCTGTCATCCTTGTAAGTTTCCTGTTTCTTCTTAAGTGGCTTCTGATTAGACAGAAGTGTGAGCCAGGGCAGAGGCTAGGGAAGAGGTGTGCTGGAGGCTCTGGGAGGGAGACAGGCCGCTGCCTGCTTGTCCCATAAACTCCCAGTCAATTCACCTGGTGAACAGAATGGAGACTCCTGCGAAAGGCCATCTTCTGGCACTTGCATCCCACATGGGCACTGGTTCTAGTCCCAGCTGCTACATCTCTGATCCAGCTCCCTGTTAAATGGCCTGGGAAAGCGACAGAGGATGGTCCAAAAGCCTTGGGTCCCCGTACCCTCACGGAAGACCCGGAAGAAGCTCCTGGCTCCTTACTTTGGCCTGGCTCCATCCTGACCATTGCCACCACTTGAAGACTGAACCATTGGATGGAACTGCTCTCTCTTTCTGCTTTTCAAATAAATAAATCTTCAAAAATAAAGTGGCTCACAGGGAGAAATTTACCATACCTGGGGATCCCTGAGACCCTGTGCCAGGGGACAAGTTGTCAGGCAGTTTGCCAAAAGCCTCATGGGCGTCTGGGCTGGAACACACACAGCCAAGGATGGCGAGCCAGGGCTCATAGCCCCTCCATGTGACCTGAGACTCCACATGGGCACAGCGGCCTCGAATGGGGGTCAGACTCAACTCCAGCAGCACAGGCTCCGGCCACAAGGTCCCCTGCAAGCTAGGCAAAGTCCCTTGGCTACGTGGCTCTTGATGACCAATGGCCAGGTCATCGTGTGAGAACTCGCAGGTGTATTGGACAGCCGCCACAGCCCCTGACCCTGGAGTGCGTGGCCTGTGTGATCC